CTAGCACAGGGGAGTGGCTGTAAATACAGATTATCATCAGCAGAGAAGTTTGACTGCACAGTAAATGTAATGCACTTGAATCATCCCCAAACCTGCACAATCCGAGGAAAAATTGTCTTCCCTGAAACTGGTCCCTGGTGCCAAAAAGATTGGGGACCACTGGTCTAGTAAATACAAGAAACCCCAATCTTAAAAAAATAATTAACAGTAATGTAACATTTTATAATGTAATTTGTGATTCTTTTTAAATTCATTATAACTATATAGGAATTTAGAAACAGTAACAAAATCATGTAGGTTAAGTTACTCAGAGAAAGAGGGCTAAAGTAGAATTTGTAGATAGATCTTCAAGGTTGGTTGGAATTTGAATATAGGTGGACATAATTGACATAATATTATTTTATTCTGTTTTCCTGTGGCCATAATTTATTTTCTAGGCATCTAAGAAGTATTTAATTGCTAGGTTGCCTAGTTCAGTAGTTTCTCCCATGGTTACAGCAGAAACATATAAGGGTGTGATTTTTTCCCCCTTTTGAAATATCTGTTTTAACTACTAAAACATCTGTCATATAAAGAAGTATGATATAATCTGTCACTGTAGCTTTCTCTGTATGACATACAAAAGTCATTTTTGTTCTATTCCTGTTTATTTTACCAGCGTAATCTTAACACTTCTCTTACGTACTGTTTGCCAGTTCCTCCAAAGTTCCATGTTCTCTTTGCTTCCAGGGCTTTGGCTATGTTGCCTTCTGCCTGGATCACTGCCCTTTTACTTGTCTCCTCCTCACCTTTTCAGGTTCAAATTCAGTGTTGTTTTATTCTAGGATGCCTTCTGTCATCTTCCAAAAACTGAATTAGTTTTGAATGTTCACAAAGCATCTTGACTTCATCTCATCCTACTGTAATTTCCAATTTATTTGTCACGAGATATTAATCAAGCTTCTTGAGGTTAGAAATTTGAAGTCTGTTGTTGCTGTTGTTCACTGCTGTATCCTCAGTGCCCCAATACACTTTCAGTAAATATTTGTTGGCTAGGGACAACCTTTAGAAGGTAGATGAGGTACCTTTTAGGTGACCAGTGAATATCATCTAACAGATAAGTTTATTTCACTAAAATAATTTATATAGGTGACTCTGAATTGTTTTAACTGATATAACTCTGAGCATCTTGTAGTACAACGAAGTAGTTTCTGTACAGTGAACTTTCAGAACATATTTGTTAACTTAGTGTTTTAGATTCTCTTTCATGTTCTCTTATTGTGTTCTCCTGTTAAAATATTGCTACTTCAGCTATTTTTTAATTTATTTTCAAATCACGTCTTTTTTTTTTTTTAATGAGATAGAGTCTCACTCTCACCTTGGGTAGAGTGCAGTGGTATCATCATGGCTCACTGCAGCCTCAAGCCCTGGGCTCAAGCAGTCCTCCTGCCTCAGTCTCCCAAGTAGCTGGGACTACAGGCATGTGCCATGACATCTGGCTAATTTTTCTATGTTTTTAATTTTTCTATTTTTAGTAGAGATGGGATCTTGCTCTTGCTCAGGCTGGTCTTGAACTCCTAAGCTCAAGCAATCTTCCTACCTCAGCCTCCTACAGTGCTAGGATTATAGGCATTAGCTACTGTGTAAGGTCTCAACTATATCTTCAATCCTGTGTCAGCTATTTTGTGTGTGTGTGAGGAGGTGTGTATGTATGTTATGTATTTTTCTATTCCTTTATTTTTTATTTTGTTCTTGTTTTAGGTCTATCTCTTGTAAGCTACATTTACCCAAATTTTATTTTTGTATCTGTTTTTATAATCTCTGCTTCTAATAGGTGATTTTAATCCATTTATATTTATTGTGATTACTGATATATCTGGTTGTGTTTCTACCATCTTTTGTTTATTCTTTGCTTTTTTTCTTTTCATGTGCCTGCCTTCAGTTAGATGATCATTATTGTTATTTTGTATTTTTTCTCTGCTGTTTTTAATCCTGTAGATTATATTTCTATTTTTAAATTAAATTTTGCCAATATTTTTTCCTCACAATCGCATGCCTTATCACCTAAACATCCCCCTATCTATCTTATTATTTTTTAGAGTTTGAGTTTTACACTTTTTAAACCCTGAAATGTTACTTTTTGTATGGTTAATAGTTAACATTTTAGCAATTTCTGTGATAATTTTTTTGTTGTATCCCATGGGTCCTCTGTGTCCTCTTTTCTTCCTGATCAACTGCATCTAGTAAGAGCCCTTTTAAGTGATCTTCAGTAGGTGGTAAATTTTTTTCCCTTTGAATGTCTAACAAGTATTTTTCCTTCATTCTTGAATGATGGTTTGGCTGCATATAAAATTCTAGACAGTTATTTTTCCTCAGCTTTTTGAAGATCTTCCTTCATTGTTTTCTGACCTCTCTTGCATCTGCTGAGAAGTGTGTTCTCAGTCTCATTCCATTGAGGTAAACTGTATTTTTCCCTCTGATAACTTTTAAGATGATATTTTTATTAATATTGATGATATGCATTTACTTTATAGTATATCTAATGTAGATGGATGTTTATATAGTCTAGTACTCTTTTTTCTCTGTTTAATGTTTTATCAAGGTCTAGCTTGCCTAAAATATAAGCTCAATTAAATTTTATATACATATATATCCATGTTACCACTACCTAGGTCAAGATTTAGAATGTTCCTAGCAAACTGTAAGGCTCATTTGTGCCCCCTCCAAGTCAATACTAAACTCAGTCAGAGCTCTTATGAGGATGCATATCTCTAGTTCTGGGACATTCTCAGCAGTTGTCTCTTCGTGTGTTGCTTCTCCACACCAGTTTCTGCCCTTGGGACTCCATTAGCAAACATCACAGCCTCAATGTTTTGTTGTTTTGTTATTTATATTTTTGTCTACCTATATTAAGTTCCAGGTGGTTACCTTTCAGTTTTACTAATTCACTCTCTCACTATGTCTTGTACAGAATATATTTCATTGATTGTTTCTTTTTATTTCAATGACTTAATTTTTTTATTTTCAAGATTTCTAATTAGTTTTTACCTGATGTTTTATTTCTGTACATTATGTTTTTAATTTCTTGGTCTTGTGCTGGCTCTTCCACTTTCATTTATATTTTTGAATATCTACAAGATGCTTGTTTACTTTGACAGATTGCACTAAATAAATTGCTTCTGAAATGAATTTTTTTTCCTTTTATTGATTTTTGTGGCTTGCTTCTTAGCATTATATTTCTTCATATGTCTCAGAACTTTGATTTGGAATTTACTTTTGAGTGGAAGTTTTTCCTTTTTGTTTCAATGTCTCCCCTCCTATGTGTCCCTTACCCTACCGCCCCCACCACGGGATTTTGCTGTTGATTTTGAGGCTATTGGCAGATGCATTCCTGGAGCCAGAGGATGGCTGGCTCTGTTCTTGGTACTGAGACTGTGTTTTTATCCCTCACCTTCCTAGACCCACAGTTTGTGATTAAAATCATCAGGATGGCAATCTGCTCTCTGTTCTTGGTATGCTCTTGGCCAAAGAGTGACCATACTCACCAAAGTGTCAGGTCCAGCCTTTTGGCAGACTGTCATCCTAGTTCTTTGGCTCCTTGCTTGGAAAAAAAAATCACAAGCAGGGCCAGTGTGATGAGTGACCACAAGCAGGAAGCAGTTTCACACGAGTAGGTTTTTATTATAAAATGAGACAGGTCTGTCTCCACAAATGGAGAAAGACTGACAATACAGACTTACTGATTCTCTGGGAATTCTCGAGTTGTTTCCTTTTATTGGCCTATTCTGAGGAAGGACTTTTTTGGAGGTTTGGTATGTTACCAAATGATTAACAGGTGTTCTCAAGGTTGTATCTGCATATACAAGCTCCTTCTCTAAAAGCTCTGCCTTAGAGAGGGGATGAACCATAATGTGGATTTAAGCTAATGACATAATAATTAGCCTTAGGTTACTCTAGGTCACTTTCCAAATCCTAGGCTGGGAAATTTCCCAGATTGGTAAAAAGTTCCCTCCTTCCCCAGGTGTGGCAGTTGCTCCGGATAGGATTAAGGGTGGGGCAGCACCAAAGCAGGGCATCTAGAGGAACAGGAGATCCTACCTATCTGCCTAACAAAACCATAGTCTCAGTCAATAGGTTTTAAATGCTTTTTTTTTTTTTTATCAGCTTCATATTATGAGCGGAAGAACCCTGACTTAGCCCTACCTTCAAGTAGTTAATCTGATATGAGTCCCTTATATCAAGCAGGCTACTTTTAGTTCCCTTTAATCCCTAAAGGAAACCACCCCAAACCTGCTTCTAGATCCAGAAACCAGTGAGTCTGTAGCTCCAGGTCCTGCTCAACATTTTTGAGTTTGCCGATTTTTTTTTTGTTGTTGTGGCACAGAAATGATCCTTATTTGGTCTCAGCTGTGTCTTTGTTTTTCTCTCTTTATGCTTTATATGCTTTATCCATTTATGCTATATGGTGCCAGCAGGGTTTCTTAACTTCTCATAAGATTTTAGTCCAGAAGTGCTATTAATTGTAAAACTATTCTTCATGGAATAATAGGCAAAGTATTTGAAACAGGGGGGATGTGGAGGCTGGAATTGATTTGTTCAGTGGTGAATACACATTTGTTGCTGTTATCTCCAAAGTGCCATTTCATTTTTAATATTTGCTTGGTAATCTTTGTCATAGTTTTTTATTATGATAACAAATAAAATTTATGTCCATTATAGAGCTTTTGGAAAACACAACAAAACATACACATATACACACATATAAACACACACACACCATGAGAGTTACTTGTATTTCCACACCCCAGAAATAGCTACAGAATATTTTGGCATTTATTCACATTTTATAGAGTACACACTTATACACATACTAATATTCATATTTTTTTCCTAAGTTTTTCTTATTTCAATAGATTTAGGGAGTACAAGTAGTTTTTTGTTACATGGATGGATTGTGTAGTGTGAAGTCAGGGCAATATTGATATTTTTAAAAGCAAAACAAACCTAGTCTTGTTTTGTAGGTGAAGCTGTGAGTGCTGGTGATGCGTTATGTGAAATTGAGACTGACAAAGCTGTGGTTACCTTAGATGCAAATGATGATGGCATCTTGGCCAAAATAGTGGTAAGTTTTTATTTTTGTTAACCTTCAACAAGAGTGTAGAGTTCCTTGAAATAAAGTTACCTTTTATTTTTACCTCTTTATTTATAATGTTATATTATTTACTACAGTAATACATTTTTATTTCTAGTGTTTAAAATGTTTTAGTGTTAAGTTTCTAATAGCCTATTTTTCTGAATTTTCTAAATTTTCTGTAATGTGTATGTTATTTTTGTAATGGAATATTAGAGCTCTGTGAAAAATAAGTGAAATGAAATGCTTAAAGCCACATATGGTAAAATCATAACTATTGAGGATTGTGTGGTATATTCACTGATGGAGCCAACAATCATGTTTGTTTCTTAGCTTCACATTTAGTATGGGGCAACAGCTACGACTGGACTCTGGAATCACACTGCTGACTAATTCATATAGCTAAAAAGTTCTGCCAGTTATTGGTTTTATAATGATTAGCAAATTCTTTATGCATTTTTCTTCATAGTAAAGTGGAGATGATAATACTACCCACATCAGGGAATGATAGTAGGGCAGGTTATGAGAGAGAGCACATACACTCATCCCAAGACTTGTTATGTACCAAGTGCTCAGTAAGTGTTGCTTTTCCCATTATTACAATTGTTTACTCAGCTCTTAGTGACCATTAGCCCTCATGTCAGTCAGTATGTTTGCCTAATAATTTGTATTCGTTGGTTGTCACTGGACAATAAGTATCCCTTTGCACCTCTACAGTTTGATTTGTACAGATCAGCTGTACATCTAAGCAGTCCCTTGTTGATGTGTTTTTAGTTCTGACCCACCGGCTCACCTCTGCTTCGGGCATGGATACGATAACTGTGTTTGTGTATTCTATTCAGAGACCACACTCCGGAATGTTATACTCTAATTAGATGTAAATCTAAAAACAGTCTTTTATTGTCATTTTTACAAGAAAATTCTATTTCTCTTTTTTTCTAGCCAGTTATGTTTTATTTTTGGAATCCTAGTATGTCCAATTTCCTTTACTTGTCATCTGTGCTATTAACAGCCAGGTTGAAACACATGTTAAAAAAATAGTTAACTTCCTTGTAGGAAATATGAATCAGAAGCTAAAATTTTCATAGTCTTATAACTAAGAAAATATAGTCATACCAAAAATAGTTTTCTTGAAAAATAGATGCAGCATTTTGAAAAAGATTGCTTGAATTGCCATATGTCATAAACCTAGCTAAATTTTATTGTGTGTGCTTTTGGCAGTCTGTGTTCTTGGCCCTTGTTCTAGATTGGTTGGCTGTGAAAGTCTTCCAGAATTGATAGCATTTTCCACTTAGCTGCTTAGTAATGCATTTCAAATTGCCAGCCATGTCAGTGGGTCAGCAATGCCTATTCATCTGGCCCTAATGCTCTGAAAAAGGTGGGGGCAGGGGTGGATATAGTTGATAGCAGCTTTAGTGTCACAGCTGTTTCCTTGCCAAAGAAAAGTTTGTATGTATATTTTAGGCCTTTATAGCCTTATTGTTATTCCACATGCTTTTTGGATAATGGGAACAGGAGCATATTCATAACACAATGTATGCAATTTTATCAGGAAAAATTGGAAAAAAAAGTAAGGTGATATTACTGGTGTTTTGTTTTTTGTCTTTCCACCCCATGATACCTCCCACTCCCATCCACAATGACTAGCAAGACTTATACCTTTATCACCTTTCTCTTTCATTGTGGAATAATTCTCATGTTAGCACACATAATAAAATGATTTTTCTAGGAATACATGTAAGTGATTTTTACTGCCAGAACCAAGGAGCTGGATAATTGAGCCTACTAAAAAGCAGGGGATAATGTAAAACTAAAGATTAAAAATAACACCTAAAATTCTAAACACTGACTCTAGTGTTTAGTTTTAGCCCACATTTTTTAAATGATTAGAAATTATAGCTTATTTTTCTCTTTTTAGGGACTTATTTTCTTAGTCTTTGAGAGGATTTTGTATTCTTTTTTCCCCCAACACTTTTGTTTCATTAAGCATTGCTCCAGTTTTTTTCCATTAGTAATTAGTAAACTTAGAAAGTTTCCTAACCCTCAGAACTTATGCCTCATTATTTTAAGAATAATGCACACATACTAATAAGCATCACAAGTAGTGTTACTCTGAAATGTCACTCATTCTAGAAGTTATGCTTTTCCTTATAATTACTATATTAGTGAATATCCTGCAGCCTATCATTCTATTATTCATTAAATATATCTGTAATGAATCTTAATTTAGAGTAATTGAAAAGAAATAATAGAAAATTTTAAAAGTATGACATCTTCCAGTGCTGAACTTACAAAATATTGTTATCTGACCATTTTCCAGCAACTTCTTTTAGTAAGTAAATTAGAATCAGCCCTTTCTTTATAAATTAATGCTACTGAAATGCTTAAAATATATTTATCTTAATTTTTAAAAATCACCTATCTTATTTATATTTTATTTTTTAGATTTTGTAAGTAGATGTAGAGAAAGAAGTAAATATAAAGAAAGATGTAAAAACTATACTTAACATTTACAAGAATGGTTAACCAATTCTGTCTATATATGGAACGTTTTTTTTTTTTCTAGAGACTAAGTTTACTGAAAAGATTTTGCTTTACATTTTAATAAAGCAAATTTTGGGGGAATTAATTCTTTCTCAGCTCTTGGAATTCTGAAGCCATTGTATAGAAACTATCTAGGAAAAACAAATAGTTGAGATATGTAACCAAAATTTCCTGTTTTAGATTTGTATGAATTAACATCAGAAAAGAAGATGCTAGATGTATTGGCTCACACCTGTAATCCTAGCACTTTCAAAGGCAGCTAAGGTGGACTGATTGCTCGAGGCCAGGAGTTCCAGACCAGTTTGGGCAACATAGCGAGACCCCATCTCTACCAAGAAAAAGAAAATGATAATGATAGCTCTTATATATTTGAAGGTTGTCAGGAAGAGGAGAAATTCTAGATTCTTTGTTTATTTCAGGAGGTAGCATTAGTAACTGGAACAGGGAGAGTGGTAAAGGAAGGTATAAGTGGGAGAAGGTGGCGGGTAGAAGGTGAAAGCAAGCTGCCTTGAAAGCAGCTTTTATTTCATATTAAAAGATCTTTCTAACCAGTGCAGAATTACCCAACAAAGGAATAAAGTACTGTAGTCATGAGCCTTTCCATCTCTCCAATTTTTTTTTGAACATAGGTTGAAGAAGGAGCTAAAAATATACGACTAGGTTCACTAATTGGCTTGATGGTTGAAGAAGGAGCAGATTGGAAACATGTTGAAATTCCCAAAGATGTAGGTCCTCCACCACCTGCTTCAAAACCATCAGTGCCTCGCCCCTCACCAGAACCACAGATTTCTATACCTGTCAAGAAGGAACACACACCCAGGACACTGCAGTGAGTATGTTTATTTGAATAAGGATGTTAAAAAAAATTGTTATGGCAATTTTAGTCATTATTTTAGTCATTATCATAATTCAAACATCTTTGTACATTAAGTAGGAAATTGCTGATATTAGCATACTCAGACCTCAGAATGTTTATTTTATCATCATTATTCATTCAGTACATGAATAGTTATTGAATACCTGTACTCTGAAAGCCCTGTATCCCCAGTGGAGAACAAAACAGTCTGTGTCCATGTTGAGCTTGAATTAAGTTTTAAAATTCCTGATGGAATTCAATATATCAAACTTCATATTGTGTTCTCTTTCATGGAATTTTAATTATTGTTATGTGAATTCCAGTTTCAAATGTATAACTGTTAGAATTCTCATTTTAACATGCTATTCTTTTCAAACCTTTGAGATTCTGACACAGATTAGAGCTCAGTGTTGTCTAATTGTTCTGTAACAACACAGATACTAAACATCATTTTCTTTAGCTTTATATAGCTTTAATTGATGGAATTTGCAAATTCTAACAAGTTTCACTTATTTTGGTATTCTCTATAATTGTACAAAATTACTTTTGCTTTATAAGAAAAGTTCTTCATAGAGAAAAGCAGACCTTTTCATTTTTTAATATTTTTTCCTTTTGTCAGTTCTTATTAGAAAAAAATCTCAGTATTTTTTAGAAATACTAATTTTTAAATTCCCTTTATCAAATTATTTCTGACTCCATTGCCTTGACTCCTCTTTATTTTTTCCTCTTTCAGTTACCATGAATATCAGAAGACAGTCTCGCTTATGTCTTGTACTCAGTGATCTTTCCTTGCAGCGATAATAGAATATGTCCTAACTGTTGAGATCGGTCATCCTTAGAGACTCACGTTGAGTCTGAGACCCCACTGTGTAGGCTACAACCTGATTGATATGTGAACCCGTTGGTCCACACCCTGGGTTTCTTTAAAAAAATTTTTTTTGATTGGTCGGTTACTAGTTATTCTTACATAAAAATTTAAAAATTCCAGTTTCTCTTGAAAAATCTAAAGGTTTGATAATGCTGGACCCATATTAGCTAAGCAACTTCCGTGAAATGCAGTAAATGCCACAGTTATTCCTCTCTGTTTCTTAGTTTTATACTTCTAGACACAGCCTGTTTTAATCTATACTAATCGGGTTTATTTTCTTTAGCTGACTTTGTAGTCATTTATGTTTGCTGCTTTGCTTGAAGGTCATAGTAGAAGAGAGATACTACTAGGCCTGTGACCCTGGTTATGCCTTACTTTCTGTACCTTTAAAATCAGTGTAATTGTTTTTGTCTTTCTTATTCTTCTCGAGTATATTTAAAGTAAAAGTGCTTTCATGTAAATACTAAGGTCTTTAAAAAATATGAAAGCTGTAATTCAACCTCAACAAAATAACTCAATTAAAAAATGGGCAAAGGAATTAAATAGATATTTCTCCTAAGAAGATAAATAGATGGCCAGCAGGCACATGAAAAAATACTCAATTTAGGGAAATGCAAATCAAAATCAAGATGAGATACCACTTCACACCCATTAGGATGGCTATTATCAAAAAAACAGAAACAGAAAAACCCTGTAATATAACAAGTATTGGTGAGGATGGCGAGAAATTGGAACTCTTGTGCCTCGCTGGTGGGACGTAAAATGGTGCTCCTGCTGTGGAAAACGGATGGCACTTCCTCAGGAAATTAGAATCACCATATCATCTAGTAATTCCACTTATTGATAGGTATGCAAAAGAGTGGATAGCAGGAGACTGGATGAGATGTTTGTACATCTACATTCATAGCAGTATGACTCCCAGTAGCTAAATAGTGGGAACAACTCATCTGTCCAAAATGCTATTTACATACGATGAAATGTTATTCAGCCTTAAAAGGAAGGAAATTCTGACCCGTGCCACAACGTGAACCTTGATAACATTATGCTGAGTAAAATACACCAGTCATAAAAAGACCTTTGTCTGTATGATTCCACTTCAGTGAAGTACCTAGAGTATCAAATTCAGACAGAATAGAACTATGGTTGCCAGGGTCTGGGGAGAGGGAAGAAAGGAGAGTTAATTGTTTAAAGAAACAGAATTTCAATTTGGGAAGATGAAGTTCTGGAGATGGGTGGCGATGATGGTTGCATAACAAACAGTGTGATTGTACTTAATGTCACTCAACCATACACCTAAAAATGCTTAAAATGGTAACTTTTATGTATAGTTCAACACAATAGAAAATATATGAGGGAACAATATAATTAGTTCCTTATTGATGTGTGCGATGAAGAGCCATGTGAAAGGGTAGTCAGAATGGAAGCTCTTTTCCTTAATGAATATTTACTCTTATTAAAAGAGTATTTTGAAATAGTAAATAGTTAAATTTTGAGACTCGGATAAACCAGATTGTACAGATTACATTTGACCGTGACTATCTATGGGAGTCACTGTAGCTTTAGTGTAAGATTTAATTTTTTTAATTATCAGCAAAACTGTTGACATTTAGATCTATTTGGATCAAATCTGAGTGTTAATTGGTTCTGTTAACTTTCATGTTTTCTTCTTAGGTTCCGTTTAAGTCCAGCTGCCCGCAATATTCTGGAAAAACATGGCCTGGATGCCAGCCTGGGCACAGCTACTGGCCCTCGGGGGATATTCACTAAAGAGTATGTGTTTGTTTTTTGTAATAACCAATTCCATTATTTATCATGATTATCTTTTTCTGAGAGTTTAAAAAGAGCTTATTCAGTGCTAAGATTTAAAAGGAGGTACACTGTTCTTTTCTACTTTTAATTGCTTTTGTCATTGTAAATTGATTCTATGCAAGGGTTATTTCTGAGTAATTACAGCATTACTGAAGAACACTTCTAATTTAATAACTAAGCAAGATCCTTAGAAATGGTGATGAATGCAGAAAATTAGAGTGCAGAACAGTGAAACTTATATGGTATTGTTTTAAATTTGTATGAAATTATGTAACAACATTTAAATTTCTAAAACATGGAAATATATATTTTAAATAATTTCATTATCCATTTGGACGTTATCCACTTGTAATGTTACAAAGCAATTTCTGTATGCAGTTGGATCTCTTTGGATTTTCTTTTCTATTTCATTGATCCGTCCATGAATTAGTGCCACACTTTTAACTATAAATATTTTATGGTATGCTTTGAAATCTGTTAGGAATAACCTTGCTCTTTTTTTTTTCAACTAACCAGTTTTCTTGGTTTACTCTTATTTTTTTATTCTTCCAAATGAATTTTAAGCAATTCGTCTAGCTTCACAGGTAGGAGTAGGGGCAACTATGGTATTTGTATGGGATTGTATCACATTTTAAATTAACTTACTGAGAACTAACATCTTGATGATGAATCTTCCTATTGAAGAACACTGGTATGTCTTTCCATTTGTTTAAATTTTTGTGTCTTTGAAAACAGATGGTCTATGCTCTGTTGGTGCTCAGTTTACTGGAGAAGACAATGATTAATCAAATAGACTTATGAACTAATGTAAAATCTCACTAATGATATGTTCTACATTTCTGTTGGAAGTAATATTAAACATTTTGTTTATTCCATGTTTATCTAATATTGATGAGTAGTAATATGGCAAGTTGAAATAGAGCAAAGTTTATGAAATTATTAAGTGACAGTGCAGGGTCAGGCAGCTTTTCATTTTTCTACTGGGTTATTTTACTCTGAGTTAAAGCATTGATTTACTGTTGGATGTTTATCTTACTGAGAGTAGTATATAACTTTAAATCTTAGATATCCTTGTTTATCTCTATTACAGCCTTGTTTGTTCACCAAATATGAGTGTGTGGTTCTATTACACACATACTGTGAAGTTGATGCCACGCTACATGAGTTGGAAATCAACTGTCCTGAGAGCTGACTGAAATGCAGCATCCATGACTGTAGCATTTTAAGTTAAAGGACTTAAAAGTTTCACTAGCCATAAAAAGTTAAAATTAAGAATCCTGACAGCCAGTTAAGCCTAGTTTTTTCTCCACATCAATCCTTATTTAGTATGTACTATTGGTTTCTTAATTTTGTTAGTCTTCTACCAGTCTGTGCCTTAGTAGAACTCTCTATAAAAAGGAGATAAAGCAACTATTAATTATAATAAGATAGACTTGTCTTGCCTAGAATTCTGAGGGCTAAGATGAATAAAAAGTCTTTATTTAATTCATCAATCATTAAAGATTTGGTGAAATATAAAATAATCATAGGAGTATCATAGAGGAATCCATTTTCCAAATTGTGTAAGATAAATCAAAGCAGAAAAAGATAAGGAGATAAATTAATAGGCTTATAAAGTAATCCAGGTAAGAGATAATGAATACTTGAACATGAGTAGAAGTAAAAGGGAGATTCCTGACACAAACATTATAAGGATGGAATGCAGAAGCCTTTGTAAAATATTTAATGTAGAGCATAGGCCAGGATAGCAACAAATCAAGGAATAAATTTGGGATTCTGGTCAGGGTGATGAAAATTTTGGCTCCAGAAATAGAAATAAGAGATTTGGGAAGCATTTGTCTTAGTGGAGTAAATAATGTTTGAAGTTTATTGGCAGCACTTAGAAGCCAGGTATCAGAACTAATGAGATGTATTGGAGGAGATAGTTTGGGATTAGAGAGGTAGGTTTAGTAGATAATAAAGCAATAGTTGTAATTGACATCATCAATAGGGAAACATTTAGAAGGCTAAAATTTCTGTGAGGATATCTGGGAGATGTACGTGTTGTACAAAAGCATATAAACTTGACTTTGCCTGACTATTTTAAGAAAGCAAGTGTCAGAGCCATAGTTAGAAGCAGAACATATTTAGATCCTTTGCCAGTAGTCTAATGTCTTTGGTGTATTTATATCTTAAATCATAGTTGTAGTTAATATTTGTGTTCATATCACGGCATCCAAAATCTAGTAAGCATGACAAGCAAATGTCTGGTGTGTTTAGTGATACTTCTTTTCAAAATTAATTCATATCACACACAGTTGAATTACTTTCTGAGGAATCCAAGTAGACAAAGTTCTACCTGAGTGAACCTCCAAAGCATCCTTGGCCTTTCTGCAGATGTATATGGTGTATTTGTTTTTCTCTTTTTTTTTTTTTTTTTTTGAGACAGAGTCTCACTCTGTTGCCCCAGGTAGAGTGCAGTAGCTTCATCATAGCTCACTGCAACCTCAAACTCCTGGACTCAGGGGATCCTCCTTGCCTCAGCCTCCTGAGCAGCTGGAACCACAGTGCACACCACTGTGCCTGACTAATTTTTTCACTTTTAGTAGAGACGGGGTCTTGCTCTTGCTCAGGCTGGTCTAAAACTCCTGACCTGAAGCAGTCCTCTTGCCTCGGCCTCTGAGAGTGCTAGGATTATAGGCGTGAGCCACTGCGCCCAGCCTCTCCTAATTTTTGTAGCTTGTAGTGCCCACCTAATTCTTCAAGCTTAGTCTGATTAATTATTTCATATATAGAAGTCATTAAAATAATTCTCTACATTACAGAAACTAAGTTGCTGGTTGTTATAAACAATAATTAACATTTTTGCGTAATGAGACATGTAAGTGTAAAATCAGCAATAAAAGTTTACTGTGAACCAATGGCCAGAATTGATTTTCTGCTTGGCTTGTTTATGATTAACAACTCCTTTATGAGGTGCTGTTTGACCCAAGAATCTTAATTTACTGCAGTGATAAAACTAAACTGTCTTTTTTCTTGATAAAATAGTAAGTAATAATTATGCTAATAGTGAAATAAAAATGTGTCCATTTAGTTTCACCAACTTTTTTTTTAAAAACAGGTACATTCAGGCATCAGCAGTGTAGATTTTTGTAGCCTTCCTGTGTTCATTGTTTTTTGTTTGTTTTTAACTGAAGACTGAATAAATTGGTGATCTGTATGGAAGGAAATTAACATGTTTTGGACATGTCACTCTGATGCTAAACTCTAGTTTAAAATCCAGACTGACATTACATTTTGTTAGAGAGATGTGTTTAATTGGCCTATATGAAATGGAAGTAGACCGTTACGGTTGGGCTATGACTTATAAGTGCTCTTAAAAACTTAATTTTGTTTTTGTTGTTGGAGGCATTTTACTGAATCAACAGAAGTCCTTATTTTATATCAGTGCTAACACTTTTTTCTATCTGGCCAGGATTTGGGCTTCTGATGTAAATTTCCAGCTATGGTATTGGCAGTCATTTCACTTGACACAGAGATGTAATGACAATTAACTAGAAAATGGTGCTTTTGATTATAAATGTCATAAGCAGGTTAAAATTTGATTTCCAAATAGTTTATCAAAAGCCTTGATATTAATAGTACATATGATCATTGGCTAGCACACGTCCCTTGTCCACTCCCTCAGTCTTTCTGTCACTATCCTGTGTTGTGCCTCACCCTGTCACCAGCATTGCCTCCAGTTTTGCTCTTGTTACCTTTTGTGTGGTTAGTAAAAGGCCTTTGTCAGGAGGTTCTACTTTTAGCTTTAGATTAGACAGATCCCATTTCTTTGTTCAATCTCAGGCTTGTTGTGAATCTGAGATATACTTTATTCTTAAGAGAAAAAATATTCTGACTCCTCTTTATATTTCATTTGCATAGTATATGCATAGATATTAGAAAAGTAGTAGGAAATGCAGTCTTTGGAATGGACTGTATGTACCTGGGTTGGATCCCAGTCCTGCTTACCTCTCAGACTTTATCTTTCAACCCTACTTGCTTTGTTCACTTTGCTCCTTCCACACTGGCCTTCCTTCTGTTTTTAAAAGAAGCTACATGTTTCCTGCCCTTATACTTGCTATTCTTTCTGCCTAGAAACATGCTATTCCTAGCTCTTCTTCCAGATTGCTTCTTTACGTCACTCTGCACAAATGTTATCTTCTTAGGCCTTCCCTGACCATTCTGCTTTAAAATGACCTCTCTCCTCATCCACCACTCTCTCTCTCTGATTACTATGCTTTATTTTCATCATAGCGTGTCACTGTTCTAATTTGTTAACTTGATTAATGTTTAACTCTCTTTGTAGAATGAAGCTCTTTGATGGTGGGAAGTGTCTTGTTTAACATTGTATCTTCACACCTGGAGTAGAGTAGGTACTTGAGAAATACTGACTTTAGACATGTAATTTAACCTTTTTGAGCCTATGTACTCCTCTATGTATTGGGAATAATCTTACTCTTTCATATGGCTTGTGGAAGATTACTTAAGCATGTACTTGACACAGAATAGACTCATTTTTCTACTTTTACCCCCTCTTCCAGTACTTAGGGATTCAAGACAATATAGTATTTTAGATTTCCTTGTCAATATGATATCTCAAGATGTCAGCTCTTTAATCTTAAAACAAGTAAGTTAATTGCACTTATAGTTAAGTTCATACACCCTTTGCTGGCTCTGATAAAAAGCTTGGACCCTTTTTCCTTAAAAATGTACCCGTATAGTTTGTACATTTTATGGGCACGTGCCACTTTTGTAATCTCAGCTACTCTGGAGGTTGAGGCAGGATGATTACTTAAGCCCAGAACTTTGAGATCAGCCTGGGCAACATGGTGAGACACTGTCTCAAAAAAATGAACATAAATAAGAAATAAATGTACCTTTACACTTTGGGGGAATTCCTGCCTGTGTTGATTATTGCTGCATAAGATTTTAACAACATACTAAGCAGCTTAAAACAACACCTGTTTATTTTCTAACAGTTTTGCAGGTCAGAAGTCTGGCCACAGTATGGCTAGGTTCACAACTCACGGTCTTACAAGGCAGAAATCAAAGGGTCTTTCAAGGCTGCGGTCTCACGTGGAACTTGGGGTCCTCTTCCCAGCTCATCTGGTTGTTGGCAGAATTCAGTTTCTTGGAGCTATGAGACTGTGACCCCTGTCTCTTTGCTAGCTATCAGCCAGGACTGACCGTCCAAGAGGCTACCTTCAGGGCCTTGCCATGTGTCATCTCCTTGGCAGTCAATAGCATGTCTGCTTGCTTTTTCAAGGCCAGCAGTTGGATCTCTCAACTCAAATATCTTCTTTCAGTAAGGCCCAGTTTCTTTGAAGAGGTTACTTGATAATGTCTGGCTCCAGGATAATTTGCCTTTTGATGAACTCAAAGTGATCCACTTGATTGCGTCTATAAAATCCCATCAACATTGTCACACAATATAACCTAATCATAGGGGTGACATCCATCATATTCATAGGCCCACCCACACTCAAGAGAGATTATATGGGATGTCTATAGCAGGAACAGAAATACTGGGCCATCTCAAAATTGTTCCTATCATGTTGCCATAAATAAAAGGTTTTGTTTTGGGGAGGATAATTGTCATCTCAAATATACTCAACAGATACTAGGTTTTTACTTTTACAAATTCTTTTTATAAACAATATTAAATATTAACTGTGTTTCAGAAAGTTTTTCTATAGATTTGTGTCACCCCGAAGTAGTTTTTATATTACGTACAACAGATTTTTTTCTTAAATTGGAAAAAATAGTTCCCGATTAATTGTTGGATATTAAAATTTTCAAGGAAATTGTTGTAATAAATTATATTGCTATACACCACTGTAACTCAGTATAGTGAATTGAGGGCCTGACGTATTTACTAGCCTAATTATCTCCTTCTATAAAACAAAAGTACCTTTGTTTTAGAGAGTAATACAAAGGCAATCTGTAACTATTTTTTATTCTAAATGATGTTGTGGATTAGATTTAGTATATTATGTTGTACTGATAGCATATTGAGCAAAATTAAAAGTTGTGTGATTTCCTGGCCATAAGCAAGCTGATTTGTACTAGAATAAACAATAATATAGTAAATATCCTATTTAAAGCCATAGGTACAATAAACTTGACACTTTTTGAATGCCATGTGAAAATTATTCATTAGCATAAAGAATGAGGTTATAGTTTAATTAATGAATTGCTTATCTGCCAAATGACATCCATCCCATAGGGGAAAATAAACTAATTTCCGCTTCAAAAATTACTGTGTATACCCAATACATTGATAAAATTCTAATTATTGTTTGGTTTCTAAAAATGTACAAGTATTATGGCCATTGACAAATGACATGAATCAGCAGGCCAGGTAAGAGACAGATTAATTTTCTAGCTCAAATACCTGGTTTTGCATTATAGCCTTGACATCTCTGTATTTCTGTATCTTCCCTCCATATCTCACCTTCATTTTCTGAAAGCTCTCTTAGATTCATTCCTTGCTGCTAATCACGGTTATCTACTTCCCTTTTATTTCCAGGGATGCTCTCAAACTGGTCCAGCTGAAACAGATGGGCAAGATTACTGAGTCCAGACCCACTGCAGCCCCTGTAGCTACCCCGACAGTACCTTCACCTCCACCGGCCGCAGCTGGGCCATCCTATCCTCGGCCGATGTTCCCAGTATCAACTCCTGGACAACCTAATGCAGTGGTAGTGTCCTCTGAGTAAACTTTTACTTTTCAGATTTCAGTGAAAGGGAAAATAAGAGCAATTATTCTATGTTTTATGGTTACTTTTGTCAGTCCATTTTAGTAGTAGCTAGAAGTGATAAAGAAAAAACACTCCAAAACTTTGGTTTACAGATTTCCTAGCAAAAATCACATTTATCTGTACAGCACTAACTTCCAAATAAGAACATTGGAACTATGATTTTACTTGCATTTACCACAAGTTCCATAACATATATGCCTATAATCATGATCTTTTTTTTTTTACAAAATTTTTACGGGGGTACAAACATTTGGGTTATATCTATTACATTTGCACTGCCCAAGTCAGAGCTACAAGCGTGCCCCTCCCTGACCATGTGTACAGCACCTATTAGATGTGAATTTACCCATCCCCTCCGCCCCCTCCCACCTGCCTGATCCCCAATGAATGTTACTTCTTATGTGCACGTAAAGGTTGATATAATAGTGATCCTTTTCATGTCTTTTTTTCTTGTGTCATACTACTAATTGGTAGCTGACACTAACTCCCTTTTGTAGATATGTTTCATTTTTTGATTAGGGATTGACAGTCTCACTGTGAAGAACTATTAATATATAGACTATATAGTCAATCATTCTTTCCTTTTCAGATACGTACAGTATAACAGCCCTTTTTCACTTTCAAATTACTCCATTTTGCCTCTCTACCCTCCTTACCTAGTACCTTTCAGGTCATTTGCTTCCCATCAGAAGCAGTGTGAGGTAATCAAGTTTATTTAAAATCGAATAGGCGTTTAAAAAAAAGTAAAAGAAAAATAAATAAACCTATCTTGCTCCTTCTAATGGAGAAATATATTCCAATATATTTTCAAGGAGTTGAAAACAGTATAAGTTTCATGGGAAATAGATTTTTAAATAAATGTTTATTAATGATTCATGACTACATACACAAAAACTTTGTGTAGTCCCATCTTATTTCTTTAAAAAGTAGGTTATTCAAATGAGGAAGGTAAACCTTACTTTCAGATTCTTATACTATATAGTGTGCACTTATTTCATTTGATCAGGTACTTTGCTAACATAAAATGTTTAATTCCTTAAGAGTATTTGTAAAAAAGAAATCAGCTGCACTGTCAGCTGCTTTGTATTATCCTGAAGTGATTGTAATGAAATCCCAAAATAGAGTGAAGGACAAAGAAGGGATTAGTTGTAATTTAAGGTCTATCATACATTTGTGAGAGGTTTAAAGAACAGAATGGAAAAGCTATGGTGAAGTTACAGGAAGATTTATTACCTCATACATACTTTCTATTAATTCCTAGGAACTAAGACAGGATTTTTTTAAAAATTACAAATCAAAATAGAAATAATTGGGCAGATTATTCAATATATTGGATTATTTTCTGCTATATACCATTTTTATAAGAATTGCCTATACAGTAGGTGCCCAATTTGAGATAGTTCAACTTACAATTTTTGACTTTATAATGGTACAAAAGTGACATGCATTTAGTAGACAGCAGGATGATACTCTGTTGTGAGGCTGGGCAGCTACAGCAAGCCACAGCTCCCAGTCAGCCACGTGATCACAGGGTAAACAATCAGTATTCTGCAGTGTGCTGTGTTGCCAGATATTTTGCCCATCTGTAGGCTAATGTAAGTGTTTAAGATAGCTAGTCTGATGTTTGGTGGTTTAGGTGTATTAAATGCATTTTCGACTTACGATATTTTCTATTTACCATGAGTTTAATCAGGATACAGCCTCATTGTAAGCTGAGGAGCCTCTGTGGTTTGTTGATTTATTGGCTACTTTGAGTTTTATTAAGTGATACTTATAACAAAAGATGCTTACAGGTGGCATTTATATATGTCTGTCTTGTCCTGCCTTCTTCCTTCCCCTCCCCAGCTCTGTATATAGATATAGTTTGTATATAGTATGTGTATATATTCATATGTATATATGTATACAAATTACACATCCATGGGGGAATTATTCATTTAGTAGATATCTTTTTCATCATCTTAAACATAGTAACATACAATGTCCCATTCACAACTGAAACATAAAATTTTACTGCTTTTTTCTGTAGTCATATACTGTAAAACCAAAACTCCTGAGATTTTTTTTATATTCCCCCTTATACTAAGACTTTTTAATAGTATTTTTCCTATATTAATCTTTAGTTAATATTGTAAGTTAGGTCACTGAGAATGAATATCATTTATGGAGTTGCTTAGTTTTTGGTTTTTTGGGGTTTTTTTAAATCTACTTATGGTTAATGGACAGATTGCTATATATATATATATTTTTTTTTTTTTTTTTTTTTGCAGGGCACATTCACTGAAATCCCTGCTAGCAATATTCGAAGAGTTATTGCCAAGAGGTTAACTGAGTCTAAAAGTACTGTACCTCATGCATATGCTACTGCTGACTGTGACGTTGGAGCTGTTTTAAAAGCTAGGCAAGATCTGGTCAAAGGTTAGTGAAGTTTAATTTACTTAATACACATGCTGACTTAACTTTCATGAAATCTTTTATTTATAAAATTCACATTGTGTAGCTTTTTATTTTAATTTCATAATTTACTTGCAGTCTATTCTGGGTATATTTTTCTGCCAGAGAAAAAGAATTAGATCTGTTTTTCTATAAGAAACAAATTGGCTCCATGGTATTAAATAAACTACAAATGTTATTACTTTCATGCAGAATGAGGATTTCTGTTCTACCTTTGTTTTATTCCCCCTTTTGTCATATTTGCATAATGTCCATTTAGTTAACATCCATTTAGCAGGCAGTTGTTGAGTTCAACTCTGTGTTACACACTGAGCTCTGCAAATACAGATTGAGCATCCCAAACCTGAAAATCCAAAATGTTCCAAAATCTGTGATCTTTTAAGTGCCAAGATAATGCTCAAAGGAAATGCTCATTAGAGCGTTTCGGATTTTGGATTTTCACATTAGAAATGCTGAGGTGGTAAATATAATGCAAATATTCCAAAATCTGAAAAAATATGAAATTTGAAACACTTATTATCTCAAGCATTTTGTATAAGGAATATTCAACCTGTATTATTATGGTTTGGTTGGTTGTTTTTTTTTTGAGACGGAGTCTCACTCTTGTTGCCCGGGCTAGAGTGCAGTGGCGTCAGCCTAGCTCACAGCAACCTCAAACTCCTGGGCTCAAGCGATCCTCCTGCCTCTGTCTCCTGAGTAGTTAGGACTACAGGCATGTGTTACCATGTCCAGCTAATTTTTTTTATATATTTTTAGTTGGCCAGTTAATTTCTTTCTCTTTTTAGTAGAGACAGGGTCTCACTCTTGCTCAGGCTGGTTTCGAACTCCTGACTTCGAGCGATTAGCCCACCTAGGCCTCCCAGAGTGCTAGGATTACAGGCGTGAGCCACCGCATCCTGGCCGGTTGTTTTTTTTTTTTAAATCATAATGTAGGCTTAATGTTTTGGTTTGCTTTAGCTTTTACATATGTAAATTTTTTATAAGGACTTATGAATGACTTGCTTAAAGCTAAATGGTTATTTTGTTTTGAATAGTTTTGGGTATGGTATCTTTAAAAAACAGTCCTTAACATTTTAGCAAGTTTACAATACAAAACTCTTCAGAATATTTTAGATTATGTCTTAATACTCTTCTTTATACAAGTTTTAATCTTATGTTTCTTGTTCAAAATGAATTTTCAGGTTATTAGCTTTGTAACATTCCTCCCAAAAATCAATTAAAAATAAAGTTTCTGCAAGACATATGGATTTTTAGCATGAACTGATAGTTTTATGTTTTTATTTTCAATCTATATGGCTTTTCTTGTCTTCACTGACCAGGACCTCTGATATGATGATCAGTATAGATGATTAAGTATAGATTAGTAAAAGCTGATATTTTTGCTGTATTCTTGATCTTGAGGGGAAAGCATTCAGTCTTTAACATTAGCCAGAGTTTTTGTAGATTATCTTTTTCAGGTGGAGGAAGTCCCATTCCTAATTTGCTCAGAGTTTTTTATCATGAATGGATATTGAATTTGTCAGATACTTTTAATGCGTCTTTTGAGTTCCTAAATACTATGTCCACATATTTGAATTTGTGCAGACCAGATCTTTCATATATGGTTTTCATTAAAAGTCTGTAAGCGCTAGAAATTTATTTATATTCTGCTCCTACAGGGGTTTTAAACACACAAAAATGTTTATATATTTCTGGAAATCAAAATTAGAAGAGCCGTGATACTGAGCAGCTGATAGTTACCATGACAGTGTGACAGTATTTAGGAAGTCTCCAGCATGCCTTTGGAATGAGCTGCTGTTCATGTAAAATTCCATAATATTGTAGTAATAGGGTATGTGTTTCTTGCCACATACCATGGACAAGATTTTGATCTTAAAGTCTTTCTCTAGAAGATTTTATAAGAAAGAAAGAATCCAGTGTGTTTACATTTTCCAGCACTTTTATACCCATGGGCAGAAGCAAAGGTATAAACCAAATGCTTTAGTTATGATCAGCTCTGTTGGAAGTGTAGGGATCCCAGCTTTATCCTAAAATTATTATGTATACAGGAAAGAAATTCAAATGCATTCACCATGAACTAGACAGAGAACTTCATTTTATTTCTTGCACTAGGGCCTATGCCAGTATTGCTTCATCTCTGGCATTTGTTATATCCTGTTTTGTTAAGTTAAAAAGCAGCTCTTATTTAATGCAGTGGTCTTAAATTTTTTCCATATACACCACATTAGTAAAAAAAATTTTGAACATTCTTCCATATGTATATGTGTATAATTATATATAGTATCTACATGTACCACTGTTCTGATATAATCAATATGTTATAAAGCATATAGAGAAAAAGGACATCTGAAAAGGAGGAGAAAAATGAATCATCTTGTAAACTTCCTGGCTTCACACACCACAGAGACCATTTGTCTTTTGAGAGACATAAAAATTGGTTCTTTTTTTTCTGATTATGCTTGTAATATATCCTTCAAGTTCTCATGTATGATATCTGAGCAATTTTTAAAAATTATAAACAAGGCCTAGAAGTAAACTTATTCATGGTTAATATTATTTATCTAGGACTTCACAGAATGCAAGTTTTTCTAATCAGGGGAACATTATTGATAAGCAAAAACCTGTAATATTTTTCATCATTGTTTGTCATTGTATTCTATAACTTATAAATTTTGAAATCATAATCATCAGGGTTAAATTTATATTATGAATACTAATTTTACTGTACTAATTTTTCTTTCAGATGACATTAAAGTATCAGTAAATGATTTCATCATCAAGGCAGTAGCTGTTACCCTTAGAGTAAGTAGCAAAGCCCAGATAATTTTGTCTTCTGAAGGAGTTTCATGTCTTAGAATTTTCATAATGAGAAATAGAATTCTTAAGTCACAAAAATTTTATAATTTTACTGCTAATATTATTTCATCTCCCTCATTTTACGAATGTAGAAACTGTAAATAAAAAGGGCTCACAACTAATTATGCAAAATAAAAACCATTTATTCAACAAATACTAACTGATCCCCTATCTTATGCTAAATATATTTTAGGCATTAAAGATATAGCAGTAAACAGAAGCCTACATGATTTCTGCTCTAACAGGGCTTAGGTTTTCATTGGAAGGAACAAGCATATGTCGGATGGTGAAAGGGCTAAGGAGTAAGAGGAAGCAGGGTAAGGGAACAAAGTAACTGAGGGTGCCTTTTGCAGACGTGAAGCCAGGGAAGCCTCTCTGGCAGGGTGATAATTGAGACAAGGCCTCAGAAAACAGAAGAGTGAGCCAAAGAGGGATCTGGTAGGAGAGCATTCCACACAGAGTGACTCACAGCATCAAGACTGTGAGGAGTGGAGTGTGTTATCCACAGGCATGGTGTAGCATGCCTAGAGTGGAGAGGGTAAGGGGTGACGTTTTTTAAAAAGTGGGGGAGGAAAAGAAGAGGGACCAAAGTACATAAGGGTTGGCCATGATGGGGCCAGGGATTTTATTGTGAATGAAAAGGAAGCCCATGGAAGGTTTTGAGCAAAGGATAGGCATGATCTGACTTACACTTTAAAAAGAAAAGGGAGAGACTGTCCTAGGCGCTTTGGGGAATACAGCCTGTGGAGAGGCAAAGGTGGAAGTAGTGATTTCCCTAGGAGACTGTAGAAGATGGCAGTGACTTGGACAAAGGTGGTGACAGTGGAGCTGGGGTGAAGTTGGCTCTACCATTTCAATAGAGCCAACAGTATCTGCTGATGAATTAGATATAGGGTATAAGAGAAAGAAGACCAAAGGTTTGGGCCCAAGCAATGGGGGGAATGGAGTTTTCCATGTACCAAGATTGGGAAAAGTAGGAGAGGAGTAGATTTGAAGTTAGGAATCTAGAGTTTGGTTGGACATGTTAAATCTGAGGAGCCTAAGAGATGTCCCAGTGGAGGTGGCAAGAAGGCAGGTGAACATGAGCCTGCAGTTCAGTGTGTGTCTGGCTGGAGATGTAAATGTACTAGAACTCAGGCCATGCCTTCCTGCTCAGCACCAGTTCTCATCATGCCTTCTTTCTGTAATGAGGCTGTTTTCTGGGATCGCTGCTTGTTAACAGTACTGTATTTAAAGTGCATTTATAATGAATTTATTTTTATGTCTTGAAAAATACATTAATATAGAACTTTAAAGTCATACTTTTATAGTGTACATCTAATTGTTCATATGACTTTTCTCTTTTGACCGAATATTTTGAATTATATTAAAGATTTCCTAATTGTGAATCATTTTTACATTCCTTAAATGACTCTCTAGTGGTCATAAGCTATTTGTTAATATTTCATTGCATAATTTTGTATCCAGAACCATATGTAGATGAAATTTAAATTTTGTACTACCATTATCAGGCCCTTTTTTGGTTTTTTTTGATCATTGGCTTTATTAAATTCAATTGGATTCTTTTTTTCTTTTCCTTTCTCTGTGCTCATTTCAATATGATAATGATTTTTATTTCTTGTGGTTTTATAGAATTCACCAGTAAAAATACCTGAACTTAGTTTTATCTTGAGGAGGGAATCTGGGCAACTTTCTCATATTTTCCCCATAATAACTGATTTAATTTTCAGCTTTTTCTTGAATCAGTTTTGGAAGCGTATATTTAAACAGAAAATCAGTCATGTCATCCAGATTCCTGAACTAATTAGCCTAGAGTCATTTAGTTTTTTATTGTTGTTGTTGTTGTTTTTTGAGACAGAGACTCACTCTGTTGCCTTGGCTAGAGTGAGTGCTGTGGAGTCAGCCTAGCTCACAGCAACCTCAAACTCCTGGGCTCAAGTGATCCTACTGCCTCAGCCACCCAAGTGGCTGGGACCACCCAAGCTGGGACTACTGGCATGCGCCACCATGCCCGGCTAATTTTTTCTATATTTAGTTGTTTGGCTAATTTATTTTTATTTATAGTAGACATGAGGTCTCACTTCTTGCTCAGGCTGGTCTCGAACTCCTGAGCTCAAGCAATCCTCCCAGCTTGGCCTCCCAGAGTGCTAGGATTACAGGCGTGAGCCACTGTGTCCCCCCAACACCTCTTGCTGCTAGAGTCATTTAAATTTCTTTCTTATAGTTCCTTTAATGTCCTAAACTCTGTCTTGCTCCTATTGTTGCATGTTTATGTGCCTGCTTTACATTGTTTTGTTATGAATGTCTTCCTTCATTTCCTTAGGTTCATTTTGGTTGGAAATATTTGTTTAGAAAACTTGAATGTGTAATTTATTGTAATTCTTTTTTTAATCAATAAGAAAGTGTAAGATTATAGATTTTTCTTTGAATACAACTTAATCTGTGTCCCATGGATTTTTGTTACATAGTTTTGTGATTAAATTTATTTGTCAGATATTCTTTGTGAACTTTTTGGGTTTTGTTTGGTGTTTTTATTTTTTGTATCTCTTTTACTTTAGTGTTGTCTATGAAGAATTTAAAATCTAAGAGGTTGGAAGTTAATTTATTCTTTCAACATAGTGATATTGATAAGTGAATGAAGGAGCTGATCCTTGAAAGGTGGGAAAAGTGGAAGAGCAAAGAAAAATGACATGAGGGTAGTCCCAAAATGGAAATGAGTGTAGCATGACAGAAGCCCGAGTAAAGTGGAAAATTCCTCGTGGGGGAGTGGTCACAAGTAAAATGACATAGGTGGAGTGGAATCCAATTGAGTGTTGCCATACTTAAACAATATGCTGGGAAGACTGGGTCTTTATCTGTAGAAAGTAAAGAATTTTTAAGAAGAGACTTCCTTTTTTTTATTTCAATTTTTTGGCATCATTTTCACCTGTGATATTTGGCAACATTATAAATGCACACTGTTTGCAGGCATCTAGTCATTGTGTCCATTTTTTTATCCTTAGTATAGTTTGTATGTTAAATATATGTATGCTTATACATGTTATGTATCATGTTTATGAAGCTTTAAGAAATCTCTTTTTATATAGAGAAGTCATTTACTGAGGGCCTGCTAATATATATCATGGTGCTAGGCTAGAAAGTCAGACTTCCTTCTGCCAAAGGAATAATGTAGCTGAATATCACTGCCGTTTTCCAATCCCCTCAAAATCATGCTGGTCATCCTATGAGGCAGAAAGTATAACAAACATTAAGTACCTTGTAGCAATCAGATTTAACAAAGAAGGCCTTTATTTTCACCATGACGTAAAGAGATCAAAACATGTACATCAGAATTTTCTCTTTAAGTTTGCTTCAAAACGGTGTTATGTTTAATTATTCTTCCAGACATAAAAGACAATTGACACAGAAATCCAAACCAGTTTTTCAAACCAAATTTATATTTATTTCCTCCTGTCTAGATATAGTCACTTTGAAAAATGCATAATAATTTTAGTTATTTTTCTGTAACCACTTTGGTCTAAAGCTACCTCTTTAATAATGTGTTTTTTCTATTTCTAGCAAATGCCAGATGTTAATGTAAGCTGGGATGGAGAAGGCCCAAAGCAACTGCCCTTTATTGACATTTCAGTGGCTGTGGCAACAGATAAAGGTTTAATTGCACCAATCATAAAAAATGCTGCTGCTAAGGGTGTACGGGAAATTGCTGACTCTGTTAAGGTATGTCTTAAGAAATACTGTGCTTTCAAAATGTGACAAGGTACTTCTAGGTAATTACTTTGCGATAAAGTTTTGACATGATCTGGTCACACTGTGATTTTGAGGGAGTGGAAGGGAGGAGAATTATTTGAAGTTACCTGTATATATAAGTTTTTGCTTTAATCCAGGTATGACCCATTTTAAGAAAATCAGTATTCAAAAATTTAGAAATCACATATAGGTAAATTAGGAAATAACTTCATTCAAGTTAAAGACAAGCTGTATTTCCCAAAGTCCAGAATCGACCCTAAAAATGCTATTTCAGATAGATTTTAAAGTTGAAGTAAACCTGAAACTATATTTTTATGAAAGTGGTAATAGGTAGACCTCAGTGTTTTTTGTGGGTTTTAGGGGGTTTTTTGTTTGTTTGATTTTTAGTGAGACAGAGTCTGAGTTGCCTGGCTAGAGTGCAGTGGCTTGTGATCATAGCTCCTTGCAACCTCAAAACTCCTGGGTTCAAGAGAGATCCTCCTGCCTGAGCCTCCCAAGTGGCTGGGACTCCATGCATGCACCACTATGCCTGACTAAATGTTTTCTATTTTTAGTAGAGACGGTGTCTTGCTCTTGCTCAGGCTGGTCTGGAACTCCTGGCCTCGGCCTTACAGAGTGCTAGGATTACAGGTGTGAGCTACTTACTACACTCAGCTAACCTAGGTGTTAATAACATTTGAGTCTTAAAAGATAAAGTTCATTTCATTCATTTCTTCTCTAAAACTGAGACCATTAAAAGTACCTAGCATTCCAGAGGCAAGGTACTTTTGTTTTTTCTAGGTTTGTTGAAAAGCAACTTTTGTAGCCCCGATGTGGAGAAATCTGATTTCACCAAAAAATAACACATTGAATAGGCAAGAACACAGTCAGTAGGTAAGCTTTGATAGCTTCAGGAATTTCCACGAATATCTTTTGGCAGAAGTATCACAGGTCTTGAAGTATTTGCATTGAAAATTTCAGATTCATTTGGACAAGTGATTTTTTTCCCATTTGCCATGGATCTATTATATGTATAGTATAGTGGTAGGACAAATTATAAGAGGAATAAAAGTAGAAGATAAGGCTTCTTTGGGAAGCTGACATATAGATACATAGACCTACTTGCCCAAAATAAATAAAGCAATGCAAATTAATCTGGTTTTAAAAGGATACCTATAAATATTGTTTACTTGGAATTTTAGAGTGAGATATAATTAAAGACAAAACTAGTAGAATTGACATTTTTTAGGTCTTTCTTCACTCCTCTTTGAAAAGATTTGCAGAGTGTGTTTGTATAGATAAAAATGTAACTATTTTTCTTAATCCAAATGTGATGTTAATTTAGTCAATTTAAAAGTCAAAGTAAAAGATTGGTTGACTGGGATGTATAGTACATGCCTTATGTTCATCAAGAGACTTAGATCTAATGGTATTCTTAATTCTTCATTAATTATAACAGTTTTAAAAGGCAGAGCAAAGATTACCTTGTAAGTACCCAGTAAATTTTTTGATTGAATTAGCAAGGTATGTGATATATTATAGAAATATTTGCTAGTCTTCTTTTATTATATCCTTTCAGTTGGATGCTTCAGGTAACATGTACTTAGATTTTTAAGTTCACATTGCCAAGAGATCCCAATGAGAATTACAGATTTTCAGAGCCAACAATCCTCCTCACTCTGTACTTATTTCAAACTCTAATTAGAGTTTATTGACAGGACTATCCAGCTGATATATTTAGGGTCTACAGAGATTTTTTTTTTTGAAGTATAGTATGTGTGCTTGAAATCTCATCCTTAAAATGAATTTTGCTTTTTTATTTATTCCAGCCTGGTAATTCATCAGGACATCAGCCTGAGATCATCGGCCTTTAAAACAATGCCTTTCAAAGTTTATATATGTGTATGCTCAAATCATGTGAATAATTATGTTGATTAAGGCAGGAAAAATATATTTGTAGATTGTTCTCTCTACTTCTCATTTGCAAGAACTATACAAATAATTTTCTAACTAACTATATCCAAATAGTATAAATCTATAATTGTGTTTCAGTTGCCAGTAAGTCACAGTAATGTATGGAGATCACTTTTTAGATTTTTGAAGAATATTTTAGTTTTCAAAAATTAAATCATCTGTGGCTTAAAATTAGTTATCAACTCTCATGAATTAATTTGTAATTTTTTTATATGTGATAATTCAACCGCTGTTCCCTTGCTTTTGAAGCACTGAAAAATAAAGATTAATAGTAGTGTGGTTAATTCCGAGTACAAGTGAGAGGAAATTTTAACTACTTTTCTTATAACCACTCTCAGTGTCATCTATCTTTCCCTCTGTAAGTTTTTAGAAATTGATATTGTCAAGAGTGATATGAAACTACTAATTCTTATATTCCTGTGGGCAATGTAAATTAGACTAGCTCATTTCAGGAAATGTTTTAGCTATAGGATCAAGAACCAAAAACATCCATTCTCTAGGGCACTGTAATTCCACTTCTGAAAATTATCATGAAATAATTCAAAAGAACCAGTTTATACCACTAGGAAAATTTACTAAAGTATGGCAGATGCATTCTTTAGAATGTTAACCAGATTTTAAAAAATCATCTATAATAACTAACAACACAAGGTAAATATTAATATATTGAGAAGTGAAATATAAAATTCTGGGGTTTTTTTTTTACCATTATCTGAGATTTTGTATATATGTTGTGGATAAAGATGAAGCAACCTTTGAAAGATGATGAATGATATATAGTGGTTGTGGGATTGTGGGTGTACTACTTTGGTTGCCATTGGATAATTTATTTAAAACCTCCTAGATTGACAAGAATGGCTTCTTATATTTTATCTTAGAAGAAAAATATTTATAGGCAAAATAGAAAATTGCATTGTGTATACAGGAAACAGTATAAAGCATTCTACATAATAATGGTGCACAGGGTAATGCCAATATTTGAAAGTTTTTTAAAAGAAAGTGATTTTTCTAGAGTTTTGATTAACATCTGTAGCTTCTTGGATTATCTGTGCTTTAACTTGTTTATTCTTACAATTATATTAAATTTTTTATATATGTAATGTCTTATAAAGTCAAATCAAGGCATATCAGAGATGAAAGTACCACCATGTACAAATATTTCAAGTGACAAGATCAGCTGTATATTGTTAGTTGTCATCCTCTGATGTTCTGTTTGTATTTTTCGCAGGCACTGTCAAAGAAAGCAAGAGATGGAAAATTGTTACCTGAGGAATACCAAGGAGGATCTTTTAGGTAAATTTTTTTTGTGGCTATTGATTTTTTCTCCCCAAAGTATCATAGGGGTACAAATGTTTTTCGTTACTTGGATTGGTTCTGTAATGCTTGAGTCGGAGTTATAAGTGTGCCATCACCCAGATAGTGTTCACTGTAGCCCTTAGGTAGGTTTTTGCCCATGCCTTCCATCCCCCTCTATTCTGCTTGATTTCCACTGAGTTTTACTTCCCTCTGTGCACATGTGTATTCACTGGTTAGTTCCAATTTAATAATGAGTGCATATGGTGTTTTCCATTCTTGAGATACCTTGCTTAGGATAATGATCTCCAGTTCCATCCAAACTATTGCAAAAGGTATTAATTCATCCTTCTTCGTGGCTGAGTAGTATTCCATGGTATACATATAGCACATTTTGCTAATCCACTCATGAGTTGATGAGCACTTGGGTTGATTCCTTATCTTTGCAGTTGTGAATTGTGCTGCAGTAAACATTTGAGTGCAGGTATCTTTTTGGTTAAATGACTTATTTTCCTTTGGGTAAATACTTAGCAGTAGGATTGTTGGATCAAATGGTAGGTCTGCTTTTAGTTCTTTGAGGACTCTCATACTTGTTTGCTGGTTTTGATCTTTGTATAAATATTATATATTGTTTAGTATCTGACCCCTCCTCCTGCATTAATGTCTGTGACATTAATTATCATGCGAAGCAGCCATTTATTTGTTACTGTTGCGGTATATAGTATTCTGTTGGATAAATATATCAGAATCCATTTTACTACTGTTGTGCATGTGGGTCGTTTCCAGTTTGGCACCATTACAAATAAGGGTGTGATGAACATTCTTATTAGTTTCTTGTGGTGAACATATGTACTTTTTTGTTGTTGTATAGACCTAAAAGTAGAATTGCTGGGTTAGAAGCTCTAATACATACAAAAACAATTTTCCAAAATGGTTATACAAATTTACATTTCCATCAACAATGCATGAGAAATCCCATTGTTCCACATTCTTGCTAACATATAGTAAGTTAGGTTTTAAATTTTAATAATTCTTGGGGTTTGTAGTGGTACTCTGAGGTCAGGGAAGTGCAAATTAATGATATTGCATACTTTTTCATTTATCAGCCATTTGGATACCTATCTGGTAACTCATCAGGTAAAGTACCTTTTGAAGTCTTGTGTCCATGTAAAAAAGTTATTCATCAGATTCCTTATTCCCAGATACACAGACATTGGTAGGCTATATGGTATTTCAAATACCTTATCAACTCTGTGGCTTACTTTTGGGAATCTTTTGGTGATGTTTTTAATGAAAGAAGTTCTGAATTTTAATGAATTACTATTTATCAGTATTTTTCTTTATAGTTGGTACTATTTGTTTTCAGTTAGGAATTTTTTATGTCCCAGAATCATGAAGTTACTCTTCTATGTTATCTTTTAGAAGTGTTCCAACTTTACTTTGCATGTGTATATCATAATTCATCTAAAATTGGATTTTGTGTGTAATGCAAAGGTCAAGATTCTAATTTTTCCCCTATATGGATATTAAGTTAAAACAACATCATATTGAGAAAGGTTTCTTCTGTTCATAGCATTGAGAAGGTGACCATATGTATGTTTGTCCGGTTCTGTGTTCTCTCTTTTTTTCCACTGGTCTGTTTGTCCTTGTTTTCTACCATCAAAATGTAACATTTGATATCTGGTAATGAAAGTTTTCCAATTTTGTTCATCCTCAAAATTGCATTCTGGCTCTTAGTATTTCCAAATAAATTTTAAAATTAATTTATCATTTTTCACACATATATACTGCCTTACTGAAATTTTGATTGGGATTGTATTAAATATTTTGACTAGTTTGAGAATTAACATCTTTACAGTATTGAGTTTTCCAGTTGATGTAGAAGTATCATTGTTTGTTCAGTTCTTTGATTTCTTTCAGTTTTGTAATTTTTCTGTGAAGTCTTGTATATGTTTCATTATTCTTTTATATATGGTTTTTGATATTATAAATGCTATTGGTTTTAAATTTCATTTTCTATTTATAGCAGCTTGTATATACAGTCACGCATCACTTAACAGGGATATGAAAAATGCATTATTAGGCTATTTCATTGTTGTTTGAACATCACAGGGTGTACTTACACAAACCTAGGTGGTATAGCCTATTGCTCCTAGGCTACAAACCTAGGAGATCACAAACCTATCACAAACATCACAAACCTATGTGATGTTACTGTACTGAATAGACAATTGCAACTCAGTGGTAAATCCTTAAATATCTAAACATTAAAAATACAGCATAAAAGGTAAAAAATAGTACATCTATATAGGGCACTTACTGTGAGTGGAGCTTGCAGGACTGGAGTTGTTCTGGGTGACTCAGTGAGTGAGTGAAGGCCTAAGATGAAGGCCTAAGACATTACTGTAGGCTTTATAAATACTGTACATTTAGACTAAATTTATAAAGAAATAATTGCTATATGACCTTATGAGAACTCTAATGTTACTAGTTGATAGGAATTTTTTAGCTCCATTATAATCTTATGAGACCACCATTGTTTATGAAGTCCATTCTTACACGGCACATGACTGTAGATATAAAACAGATTTTTACAAGGGCTGTCCAGAAAGTATCCAGCCATGTAATATGTTGTCTACGTTAACAATGGCTGGATACTTTCCAGACAGCTCTTGTATATTGATCTTTTGTCTGATGTCTTGGCTAAATTACATATTAATTTACTAGTTTATCTGTAGAGTCTTAGATTTTTCTATGTATACAATTAATTTATCTGTGAATAATAAGTTTTTCTTTTTTTAGTACTTACACTGTATATTTCTTTTTCCTGCCATATTTCACTGCCTAGGTACTCCAGTTCAATGCTGAATTAATTAATGTTTGATAGTAGATATGATATTTGTATGTGTGTTGCTACATGTTCTTTGTTTGAGTAACTTAGTATAAAGTTAAGTAGCAAAGTTTTTAAGTAAAACTACATGCTTAAAGGAAAGTACTTTGGTTAAGGACGGGTCACCTTCAGAGCTTTCATTTTCCCTCTAGTATTTCCAACTTGGGGATGTTCGGCATCGATGAATTTACTGCAGTGATCAACCCGCCTCAGGCCTGCATCTTGGCTGTTGGGAGATTTCGACCTGTGCTGAAGCTCACTGAGGATGAAGAGGGGAACGCCACACTACAGCAGCGCCAGCTTGTAACAGTCACAATGTCCAGTGACAGTCGAGTGGTTGATGATGAACTGGCAACCAGGTTTCTTGAAAGTTTTAAAGCAAACCTAGAGAATCCTATCCTACTTGCCTAGTCCTCAAAGATGAGAAGTTGGTCTTTGGCTTAGTTAATTCAGTAGCTGTTACCAAGAAACATAACGTTATAGAAAAACAACCAGGTATTTAAGTTTGAAGTGAATGAAATGTGTATTTATTTAAGGTGAAAGCATTTGACCCAAGTTGTTTTCATTTTCAACTTGGGTTTAATGTTGTAGAAATAAATGACAATAAACTAATAAAAAAAAAAAGAGAACATTTGGTTAGTCAGATTTTATTTTTAACCTCTGGTGCTGTACAAAAGGGGTATTAAAAACTAGATGTAAATCAAATTATATATTTGGCTCATTTGAGCATTTTAGGATATTTAAGAATGTATGATACATTGTAAAATGAAAAAATTGTTAGAACTCTACCTTAATGGAGTTGAAGTAAGTGGTCTTCAGAGAGATGCCCATTAATTTAGCAGTGAGACCTCACTTTTATGAGCACTGCTCTAGATATACTTGAACAATTTAATATGTACAGTTCTGGATAATAGTCAATAAGGATCACATTATATTAGGGGTTGTGGCAACATTATTGAATTTTTTATGTATATAAAGCCATATGTTTTAGAGTGGTTTCTATCTTATATTTCACTTCTGTAACACTGTGAACTTCTAAAGAATGGAAGAATAGAATAACAGAAGCAAGAATGAAGAGAGAGATGTTTCAAAAAAGTTGTGTAGTTTAATGAAAAACTATAGCTAAAATATGTAAACCTTTTGAAATAAACTGCTTACCTTCATCCTGAGTTGGAATATATTTAAATAAACTGTTATATTCTGCCATTTTAAGTTAGTTTTAATGTAAATACAAAATGTTTCTTAATGCATTTTAATCAATTTTGTATTGTGCAATAAAATGTGAGATAATACAGAAATTTCTTTTGTATTTTAAATGTTAGGACACTGAAGTTTACTTAGTGTTTTTCTAGAGCATTTCAGAAGGGACTCTACAGAAGGAAAGAATGATTTTAAAATTAGTATGACATTAGGAAAGTAACTGATAGGAAATGTAAAACTCTGAAAAGAGTGGAAAAGAAGACTTATGAAGCCAAAGAGATGAGAACTGTCCTTTTTGTTCCATTGGTAATATGAGCTGAGCGCAGTGGCTCACACCTGTAGTCCCAGCACTTTGGGAGGCCAGGGTTGGAGAATTACAAATTAGCCGGACATGGTAGAACGCACGTGTAATCCCAGCTATTCCAGAGGCTGGGGCAGGAGGATCTCTTGAGCCCAGGAGTGCCAGGTTACAGTGAGCTGATCAGCCCACTACACTCCAGTGTGGGTGACAGAGCAGAAACCCTGTCTCTCTCTCTTTTTTTTTTTTTTTGAGACAGGGTCTCACTTTGTTGCCTAGGCTAGAGTGAGTGCTGTGGCGTCAGCCTAGCTCACAGCAACCTCAAACTCCTGGGCTCAAGCAATCCTACTGCCTCAGCCTCCCAAGTAGCTGGGACTACAGGCATGCACCACCATGCCCAGCTAATTTTTTCTATATATATTAGTTGGCCAGTTAATTTCTTTCTATTTATAGTAGAGACGGGGTCTTGCTCTTGCTCAGGCTGATTTCAAACTCCTGACCTCGAGCAATCCGCCCACCTCGGCCTCCCAGAGTGCTAGGATTACAGGCATGAGCCACTGCGCCCGGCCAGAAACCCTGTCTCTTAAAAGGAAAAGATAATAGGAAATTTTCACTAATCATTGTAAAGGTTAGAAGAGCTTATTTTTCTCTTCTGGCAACTCTGCCATAACTGGCAAGATATCTATTTAAATTGGATGGTAATTAATGGTAATTTAATTAACTAGTCACAGAAAGAGTCCTGTTAGTGTCAGCTGACATGAATCACCAGAAGAGAGTATATGGTATAAGTTGTATGGTATGGCATGATGAACTATAAGCCCTAATAAATGAGTCTTCTAAAGTAATTAGTGCCCCAATATAGCAATTGTTAAGAAATCCAATTACTCAGTTTTAAGCCATTTTTTAAAAAGTCTTCAGAACTTTTGTCACATTAACAGTTATACTGAAAATTATTATTTTTCTTTTTTTATATTTAGTGTTAGAGAATATACTGAAAATTATAACCAATGCTATTTTCAAAATAATTTTTATAAGTTACATTATTTTCAAGGTCAGTTTTAACTGAAATTGTTTGGGTCTTTTCCCAAATAATTTTTATATCTGAGGAATAGAACGTGAGTCAGCCATAAATAAGCCCTGACTTTGAGCTGTTTTCCATTGACTGTCACGGAAACAGTAGTGCATCTGTTTCCCTGTAAGTGAAACGGGCGCTGTTGTCCCCCCCAGCCTGCCTTAGAGAGTTGGGAGCCGCACAGGAGAAACGGCTGTATAGATTTAAGACATTTTAATTCTTTATGGATATCACAGCAGGGCTTTTCACATAATCAACTGATTCTCCTGGTTTGACTTCTCAGCTTTTGGTACAAATGCTTGTTCATTCTGACTAAAAGTATTTTCTCTAGTCTTTCTATACCAGTTAGGCTTCTCTGTGGAAGTTTTCATTTCTAAAAGGTATTCTGCTGAACTGTGGGATCAGAGAAGGACGCTGATTTAAGAAAGGAGTAGGCATACTTGGTTTCAACTGTTTGCTGCATTAGCAGGCCTCTTCCACATTATGCTACTAATTTGTTTCAAATAGAGATCACCCTGAGAGAATATAAAAAATGAAATTTTGTAGCTGTTCATCTTTTTTTCTCATTTAAACAGGGAAAATAACTAAAATATTGGGAAGACTTCCAGGGAAAAGGAAACACATACTCCAGTTATCACGAAAATATCAGTAAATACTTGAATTTACAAGTCAAAATGACTCTTATTCTCCCTGATTGTTGCAATTTCTAGTTAACATTTACACACACAGTTTGTTCATTATTTTGTACTAGATTAAAATCATTGGTATACTGCTGGCCAGACTCCTTTGTTTGAAACATTACTAAGAAATTTATATATACGGTTGCAGGTATTTTATAGAAAGTCAAATGGAACTTACTACTTTTAGATTTTTTTTACTTTGGACTTAAGTTGACACTAAATTGTATAGGCCAGCTGTATGGGCATTTTACTAAAAGTAAAACTAGTTCTTAACCTTTCATTGACAGATAGGTGGTGCTGCAAGCTGATATATTGTAGTGATAGTGTGTGGGGGGAGGAATTAAAACGTTATTTAAATCTTAGTTTTCAAGGAAAATTTGTCCTCTTTACACATTGCTTCTCAGGTGAAGTGAAGGAATGAAAGAACCAAGTGCGTGGCAGGTAGGAGTTGACCATTAATTTAATTATGATGTTATTCATGAAAAGCTTTTAATGATTTTTGAAGTAACAGTGGAGATTTACTTTACTACCACTCTGGCTGTAAGGCAAGTAGGTCAAAATAGAGAGGACAGCAGTCATAGAGGAGCAGTTGGAACATTTTGCTGTGATGAAAGCATGAGTTGATGAGGGATCTGCACTAGGTCAGTGTCTTTAAAGAAGGGAGAAAATGAGTAATATTCAACATGTTACCATGCTGTGGTGTCTTATACATATATGGTGCGGGTGTGTTCAATCGATAATGCAGCAACAATGATATAATTTTCCATCTAAAACACAATCCTCCATGGCTCACGTTCACCAGTGTCAAAAGGAGGAAGATTCTGATAAGTTACGTACAGCAAATGGTTTAAGTAGATATTTGAACTTTTTATAAGTGGAAAAAGCAATAGTCGTCTGATAAAATTATTTTAAATAGTTTTATATTAAAAATTTATTTCTAGTGTCTCCATTGGTTCCAGGTGGTAGAGGACAGGCAGGATGGGGGGTGAGGAAGGTATGTTTTCTTTAGATTTGTAATATTGAAGGCACCATTTAATTGAAATTATAAGGTATAAAGATAATTAGTATATCTTAGTAGCAGTCTTTTGTTTCTTTGATCATATAAAGTTCATTTTCACATTTTATGTCATATTTTTTCTTTTTTTGCAACAAGTCTAAGCAGCCTTTTTTTTCTGGGAGAGTAAATATGTTGTAAACCTGTTAATTTAACCTTTATGGTATGATACAGACCCTTAAGCAAAGCATGAGTTTTCATTAAAAGTTGAGAAATTACTAGCAAAATCATTAGCTATGATTTGCCTTTTTTCACACCTAAAATCTTTTAAATTTCTTAGTTTATGAAATTTTATCACTGCTATCACTAAAAGGCAAATCTTGTTAAGGCTGTTGTGATCAAATGAAATAACATTGGTGATAGCACTTTATAAAGTATTAATATTATGTAATATATTAAATTTTTAATATAAATTGCACTTATCAGTGGCTTATCATCAGTCTGTTTAATAAAGAATGGTGTTTATCAGGAACCTGTGTAGTATGGTATTTAATAAATTATCATCCTTCCCAATAGAACTACTGGTCATAGGTACATACTTTGTTTCCCAAGTTTGCATACTTTTAAAATCAAAAGTACTTGAAGCCTAGTTCAACTTTATCTATAAATTACTGCTCTCTTGTCAAAAACTTTATTTCTGTGCTTCAATATTCTTACCTATAAAATGAGGAAACAAGAAGGAAAGTTAATCACCCTAGTGGTGCTTGTCTTGTTTAATTTCCTCAATTCTTTGTGAGAGTATGCATAAAGATTGCAAAGTAGAATATACCTCCCACATAGAATCTCAGAGATTGTACATACAAACTCAAATTATATAAATTGGCCAAAGCTCATAAGAACCATAACTGGGATTTGAACCCAAATCTGTGCAGCACCAAAGTTCAAGCTCAACTGCATTGTGAGATACAGCCTTTTAAGTTGTAACACTGCAGCTGAAATGTAGTTCCACATGAAGAAATAGTCTTTTCCACCTACAATAACTGAATGTGCTGTTCTTCATTAATAAAACTAATGTGTTTGTGTTTGCCCCATAGTCATCTTAAAATCAATTTATATTTTCTATATAGTGGTTCTCTTTGTGCTTTTCAGGTAAAAGTATGCAGAAAGTATTCAGGGATTTCTTTTTTCCCCATTACGGGCAACTACTCTTAACCTGAAATACTAAAGTTAAGTGTTACGACTTGTACCTCTGAATGGAAGGTTTAGAAAAATAGAAGTTTATAAAACAAAAAAATTAGGGGCTTAGTGCTGCTAGGAGTAAAAATAATGATATAGACCATTTTACCTTTAATAGCTTTGATTCTGGTCCACGTTGAGAAAAGTAAGTTACCTTAGTGTTAATGTCAGAGGTTCCAGACTTCTATATTGAAAGTCCTATCAGTCAGGTCCAATCAGTTAAGAGTTTATTGGGTTGCCCAGGCCAGACCTGTCCATAGTCGCCAGGCGAATAGGAAGCAACCCTCCAGGGCACCGGTGAGCCTCAGCTGGGGCACGCTGAGGAGGGGTGAGGGTGCCACTGCAGGCAGGAAGCCTAGAGCATACTGTGTCTGTGTTGGGAAGACCACAAGAAGGTAGTCATCAGGCCAAACTGGGGTTGCCTTTGGGCACCCAGCAAAGTCAAAGCACCACCGGATGTCCTACACTGCTGACCAGAGCCACACACTGGCAGAAACAAGCAGTGTCTACTGAGAAAACTTAACATCATGCTTGCTGGAAAGGAGAAATACTTACAAGAATCACATTGCTAATTGCAGAGCAGGCATTGAAGGGTAAATTTGAAACTGAGAGACAGTAAATTCAAAACTGGCACAAGAGACCAACCACAGTGGCTGGGAAGTAAAATGTAATCTCATCATTTAGGACTAACGCCAAATGAAAAGACAGCTGAGAATGGTATATAAC